TGCCAATGCAGGAGATGTGGAGTCAATCCCTGGTCTGAAAAGATCCCGCTTGCCTTGGAGGAACTGAGTCCAGGTGCCACTCCACTGGGCCTGCGCTCTAGAGCCTGGAAGCCGCAGGCTCATTTTTGCAGAAGGTGAATCTATAGGTATCACCTTGTGGACAGCAGTAACCCAGAACCCACAGATGAGCATAACGGAAAGGCAGATGGCTGGGGCAGTCACCTGGCCCAGCCTGACTCCTTCCTGGGTCCTCTCTATACCGTTCAGCCAGGAGGAACGCCTCATGGAGCAGGGGCCTCCTCTTCTGCACTCCTGCAGGGCCTGGTAAGCTTTCTTTGCCTTTGTCAGCAAAGTGATGTCTCTGCTTTTTAATATGTTGTCTAGATTTGTCATAACTTTCCTTCCAAAGAGCAAGTGTCTTTTAGTCTCCTCTTGGTTTGCTGAGGTCCAGGTTCGGCTTCCCAGGGGGCACAGTGGTCAAGAATCCCTCTGCCAATGCAGGAGATGCAAGAGATGAGGGTTTGACCCCTGGGTTAGGAAGATCCCCTGGAGTAGGACATGGAAACCCGCTCCAGTACTTTTGCCTGGAAAATTCCATGGACAGAGGAGCCTGGCGGGCTACAGTCCACGGAATCACAGGGTAGGACACAGCTGAGCACACAGGAGCACACAAACACAAACTCCAGGTCTGTCTGAGGCATCAACGGCTAAGTCCATTTACGAGCCCACCTTCATCCGCCTGGGCTAGGAGCAGGGCAGGGGTCTGAGCAGAATCTGTTCTTAGGGGAGGCAGGAGGGAGCTGCATTGTTTATCCAGAAGGAGAAAGGCCACTGAACTCCAACACAGCATTGAGGGAAACTTGGCCTGGGTGACTCAAGCCCAGAATCGAGATGTGTGCGGTTGAAGTCACAAGGAGGCCCATGGCTCAATACCAGGAAGAACTTTTTAACCTTGAGAACCACTCTGTCTGAAAAAGGCACCAGCTCCCTCCTTGGGCAGTGAGCCCCCTGGCCTGGGAGGCAGTGGGGAGGAAGCCAGAGAGATCTGAACTGGAAGATCTCTGCGGGCCCTTTGAAGTCTGAGATTGCACATTCCCACAGCCCCAGGCGGCCGATACTCTGGCAGCTTTCTGTTTATTTAGGGAGGTGATCGGCTGCAGCTTCTGCCACAGGCTGTCGGCAAGCGGTTTACCTTCCAGGGCAGACAGGAAAGCGGGCGGCCCAGCAGGCGGGCGAGGCTGTGGTGTAACACAGGTGTCACCAGGGCCCCTGGGAGGCTGAGCCCCGGGCCCGCGTGAGCTGCGGGTGTGCCAGCCCGGTGGCCCCGGGGCGCGGGGTGCCCAGGGGTGCGGCGGTGCAGGGAGAAGAGGAGGGTCAGCCCAGGCGCCGTCAAGTCAGAGCACCAAGAGAACACCAAGTCTTTATTACACCAATTCCTACGAAACAGCTCCAGGAAAAAACCCACACGGAGGAGAAGAAACAGAACTAACAAAGTCACACACATGGACTGGGGCTCCCCTCTACTGCGCGGGGGGCTGTGGGGGATCGGCAGGGGGCCGAAGGGCAACTGCACTTCCGCGGGATGGGGAGGGGGCCAGGGTCCCCCCTGGGCACTGCGGGGGGCGCGCCAGGCCCTCTTTATCTCAGGGTGACTTGTGGTCATCCAGCCCCAGCGGGCCTGGCGTCTCCTCTCAACATCCCAACGCTGTGTGGCCGGCAGGCTCCCTGCTCCAGCTGGAGCCTCTGACCCGCCCAGGCTTCCCCCAGGTCAGCACACCCCCATCTCCAGGCGGGGCGGGGGGCAGACGCAGAGGCGGGGCTGACCGCCCCCCAGCCCCCCCGCTGGCACTGGTTGGTGCTGGCTCAGGTCTGTAGGTCCCTTGTTCTCCTCCTGGCCATTCACCTTCTCGCTCTTGGCAAGGGGCACCCAGCACGCCCTTCTGGCCTGGGGCTGCAGGCCGGCTGGCAGCCTCTTCTTCACGCCCCCCAGCCCCACACCTTCCCGGGGTTACCAAGGAACTGACCGCTGCCCACCTGGCGGCAGTGGAACTTCTAGTCCAGATGAGGGGTCAGCCCCGCTGGAGAGGGGCTGCAGGATCCCATCCAGAACCGGCTTTTTGTCTTCTGCCAGACTGAAGACCGCCCCCCCGCTAGAATCCTCCAGCTCCAGGGTGGCCAGTTTCCCCTTCCTCTGAGGACCCTTGCCAGCCCCCAACAGAGGCAGCAAGGAGCCCATGCAGAGCGGGCGGCAGACACGGCTCTGCAGGGCCCATCACCCCTCAGACGGGGCTCCAGGGACCGCCCAGGGCTCTGTGGAGGGGTGGAGTGGAGGGGTGCGGGCCAGCGCCCCTGGGGGAAGCTGAAAGGCAGGAGGCCACGGGAAGGAAGGGCCCAAGGTGCCCAGAGGGAGCTGGGATGAGGGTGGGGGTCAGGCTGTGAATGTGGTCTCTCCTGCAGGACAGGAGGGAGGCAGGGGCTCCACCTCAGGCCAAGAAGACTCTGGTGGGATCATCCTCCCCTTTTGGGTATCCCCACCTTGCCTGCTTTCTGTTCGGTGTTTTTTTTTTTTTTTAAACAGAAGAGGGGTTAGAGCCTGCATTTCCATCCATTCCCCTTAGAACAGCCCGCTCACACGAGGCGCTGTGGTTGGCTCTTGCCTCCACCCTCCTCCCTTCCTGCAATCACAGCGGGCAACTCGGAAGTTCTGAATCCCTTAGAAAGTGGCAGTGGCTGGGCTGGACTGTGGCCAGAGGATCACCGGGCCTCAGAACTCAAGCACCATCTGTCCGACGGCAGCTGGGATGCCTCCGCCGGTCGAATCGTCCCCGGCAAGGAGGAACTGCTGGTATCTGGTGGGAGAGAGGGATGGGAGAGGTCTTTTTCAACGGAGGCCCGTGGTCTTCCCTCATCACTAGTTCCTGGAGAGAGCCTGGGGCAGAAGCTTCTAAACACAGGGGCCCTCTCCTTCCCCCAAGGGACTCTGTGTCAGCCTTGGAACTCGGGCTGGGGTCACACGCGCCACTCCAAGGTCCTAGAAGCATCCCAACGTGCAAACCAGGGGGGCCTCCGGTGCTAGAGGTGGAGTGGGGCTCTGGATGTGGATGTGAAGCTTCTGTCTGTGGTGGGCTGAGGACCGAGCCGGTGCCTGATCTCTTCTGTGACCAGACGCAGCGGAACTCACTCAGCAGAACTACACGGAACTGCACCCAGGGCGCTTGGAGGGGCAGAAAAGCAAAATGGGGCCGGAACTTGGTGGGACCCCACACCAAGCCGAGCAGCCTTCACGCAGAAGACCCATTCAGAGGGCGAGGGAGAGACGGGATTCAAGAGGCGTCCTGGTGATGGCTGAGAGAGCAGGGGCAGGGAAGAGCCCACAGCCGTGAGCCAGGTGATGAGAGTCTGCAGAGTGGTGATGGGAAGGATAGAGAAGAGCAGTGAAGGGGGGCGTCAGGAGCAGGGGACTGTCTGGCTTCAGTGAGCGGACACCCGGGGCCAGGAAGACCATGGTGGGCACAGCGGGGGCTGAAGGACAGATCTGGAGAAGCAACATGGAGAGCCAGGCTTTGGAGCCAACCGCACACAAGTGTGACCGTCAAAGAGGCTGGTGGCGCGGCTGGGGGGAGTGGGGGGTAGGGAGACTTTGAGGAGGGTCAAGGGCAGAGCTGCCAGGAGAGCCGGGGGCCCAAAGGAGCACAGAGAAGCAATAGCAGAGAGAACGGGGGCCCAGGATTGCTGGGGCCGCAGGAGCCCGCGGGGAGACAATGGGCACAGCGTGCAGAAGACAGCGCCAGAGGCCCCCGAGCAGGCAGGTGACTGCGAGTCAATCTGGGGGGGGCAGCCAACCCAGCATGGGCGAAGGAGGGTGCGGCTTCTCTCAGGTTGGGTGGCTCACAGCATATTGAGGACTCCTGGCTTTTAAGATGGGAAGCAGGGGGATGCAGGCTTGAGCACGGAGCTAGAAAGGGAAAAGGTGGACCGTTCAGGAGAGAAAGAAGTGATGAGCAAGCTCCTGTCAGGGGGTGGCTTTGGGCCAACGGGAAGGACGGACGTGGCAGTAACATCGTGTGGGAGGGGGTCCTTCCCCGGGCTGGGTTTGTTTATTTTTCCAGCATTCCAGATGACAGGGACACGCGGCTGCAGTAACACGCGTGAGCACAGTAGGGGTGTTAAGGTGCCTGATGGAGGGTGTAGTGGCAAGTCAACTGGACGTGAAGGCCAGAGGCCCAGGCCGAAGACGGAGGGCCTCGTACTGTCCCTAGCTGCGTCCCCCACACTCTGGGACCAGCACAGCAACCGGGGCAGGGTGGACAGGCAGCCTCATGGTGGGGGAGGCGCCGGAGGAGGGACCGGGTCCACGAACCCTAGGGGAGGTGTCGGCATCTCCTGGTCCCTCCCTGGGGGACAGTCCTGGGGGAGGCGTCCACATCCCCTGGTCCTTCCCCATCCTGGGGGAGGTGTCAGCATCCCCTGGTCCCGCCCCAGGGATGGCCCTGGGGGAGGCATCCCCTGGTCCTTCCCCTCCTGGGGGAGGTGTCAGCATCCCCTGGTCCTGGGATGCACAGGAAAAAAGGAGGAAAACCAGCCTGCAGGCCCAGGGCTCCGGCCAGAGACAGGGCTGCCTTGAGAGGGGTCATGTCCTCATCGCCTCCACCACTGAAGCCCAAGCCAGCAGAGGAGAGGAGGTGTGGACCCGGCCAGGGTGAAGCCGTCTCAGCTTTTCTCACACTTTTCTTAGCACGTTCTGTGTGTCCTGGACTTTCTTCTCAACTATTCAAGGTCAAAGCTGGTTTTTCTTTTCCTGTTCCTAGCATCTGGCACAGGCAGGTGTGATTATCTTTTGTCAAATGAATAAATAATGGAGGAAACGCAAACCACGAGCTCCCCAGTCACAACACCAAGGGGAAGAACCGGGCCTGCAGCATCCAGTTGACTGAGCCCGCCGCCCCCACCCTGGGGAGACGGCCGGCAGTCCCAGGCAGGGCGGCCCTGGGCCTTACCTCCTACTGCCCTTCTTTAAGGGCTTGCTCCACCGTGGGCACCTCCTGTCGCCTTCCCCGGAAGTCTTCATCTGAAACGCAGAGGAAAGGGCCTCAGCCTCCCCACTGCGCCGCCTCGCTCAGGCGCGGCCCCCAGGCTGGGGAAGACGGCTGACCCCGCTGCCTCCACCGCGGTGGCTAAAGCACACGCTGCCCCCTCGGGGCCTGGGCAGAGGCCACGGGCGTGGGGTCAGGACCCCCGGCTGCTGCTCTGCCTCCATCTCTGAGCTCTGAGAACTCGGGCAAGTTCTTCCCTCAGTTTCCTCATCTATCAAATGAGATGCGGGACGCGGGACTGTCCAGATGACCTTCAAGGCCCTTCTGGCCCTTGTTTCTGGATGTCTCCTGACCACCGAAGGGCCCTTCTGGTTTGGCTCACCAGAACCAGGCTCAGCTGTGGGCCCAGGGAGGTCTGAGGCAGCGTCTTCTGGCCCACATGCCATTGGGAGGGACTGAACGGAGGTTGAAAGGCCTCTGGGCCCCAACACCGAAACTGCCCAGAGCACAGTTCTCAAGGTGAGGTCCCTCCATGTAGTTGGGCTTGTCTGTCCCCTCACACCCCAGAGGATGTTCCCCAGGAGCATCACTCAGCTCTTTATGTTCCAGGTAAAGATCTAGGTGATGTGGCTGGGCCCCCTTTCAGAAGTGAAAGGAAAGGAGAGGCAATGGGGACCAAGTTCAGTGCAGTCGCTCAGTCGTGTCCGACTCTTTGCGACCCCATGGACTGCAACAGGCCAGGCCTCCCTGTCTATTACCAATTGCTGGAGTTTACTCAAACTCATGCCCATCAAGTCAATGATGCCATCCAACCATCTCATCCTCTGTCGTCCACTTCTCCTCCCGCCTTCAATCTTTCCCAGCATCAGGGTCTTTTCCAATAAGTCAGTTCTTCACATCAGGTGGCCAAAGTATTGGAGTTTCAGCTTCACTATCAGTCCTTCCAATGAACACCCAGGACTAATTTCCTTCAGGATGGACTGGTTGGATCTCCTTACAGTCCAAGGGACTCTCAAGAGTCTTCTCCAACACCACAGTTCAAAAGCATCAATTCTTCAGCACTCAGTTTTCTTTATAGTCCAACTCTCACATCTATACATGACTGCTGGAAAAACCATAGCTTTACTAGACGGACCTTTGTTGGCAAAGTAATGTCTCTGCTTTTTGATATGCTATCTAGGTTGCTCATAACTTTTCTTCCAAGGAACAAGCATCTTTTAATTTCATGGCTGCAGTCACCATCTGCAGTGATTTTGGAGCCCCAAAAAATAAAGTCTGCCACTGTTTCCATTGTTTCCCCATCTATTTGCCATGAAGTGATGGGACCAGATGCCATGATCTCGGTTTTCTGAATGTTGAGTTTTAAGCCAACTTTTTCACTCTCCTCTTTCACTTTCACCAAGAGGCTTTTTAGTTCTTCTTCACTTTCTGCCATAAGGGTGGTGTCATCTGCATATCTGAGGTTATTGATATTTCTCCAGGCAATCTTGATTCCAGCTTGTGCTTCTTCCAGCCCAGCGTTTCTCATGATGTACTCTGCATATAAGTTAAATATGCAGGACGACAATATACAGCCTTGACGTACTCCTTTTCTGATTTGGAACCAGTCTGTTGTTCCATGTCTAGTTCTAACTGTTGCTTTTTGACCTGCATACAGGTTTCTCAGGAGGCAGGCCAGATGGTCTGGTATTCCCATCTCTTTCAGGATTTTCCAGTTTGTTGTGATCCACACAGTCAAAGGCTTTGGTATAGTAAATAAAGCGGGACCAAGTTGGGGGGACCGATTTCTTTGGGTCACCTGCCCACCAACCCTAATACGTGTCCCATAGTTGGGAGTGCCTGCTCTGACAGGCTGGGTTCACCTGTGAAACAGCCAAGCCCTACTCGTGGAGGACTACCCATCATGGCAACTCAAAGCTCCAGCCTCCCTGCCCTCTCCACCTTACCACAAGCATGGCCCTCCACGTCATCCAGGAGATTGGCTGTTGATGCCGCAGCCCCCAGCCTGCCGGGCCATTCAGGAAAACTGTCCCAGGGATCGGTGGGCACTGCCTCATTTCCCAGGCCTTCCCACTCCCTGGCTCTGGCCTTCTATCTCCCAGCCAGAGCTCAGGAGGCCTCCCTCACACCAGCCTTATCCCCTGCCAACGTCCCAGTACCTCCACAGGCTCCTTTTCTGGGGGTCAGCTGAGTAGCCCGGCTCTGACTCTCACCCGGCTCCCAATTCTGGGGACAACTTTCTTTCTGTTCTCCTTTGGCTGCTCTGATGGCCCAGAGGGTAAGGAGTCTTCTGTAATACGGGAGACCTGGGTTTGATCCCTGGGTTGGGAAGATCCCCTGGAGAAGGGAATGACCACTCACTCCAGTATTCTGGCCTGGGAAATCCCATGGACAGAGGAGCCTGGTGGGCTACAGTCCATGGGGTCGGAAAGAGTCGGACACGACCGAGTGACTTCTGCTCAGCATCTAACATCCTGGACCCTGTCTGATAAGCATGGGTAGGAACCTGGGTAAAATTGTGGAAGGCTGTATTTTTACTGGAGGAACCAAGACTGAGAAGGCAGGGCCAACACCTGTGAAATGAGGAGGTGGGAAGGTCCGTGGAGCAATTCAACTTAAGAAATCAGGGGAAGATTTGCTGATTTCGATGGAAGAACCAAGTTTTCTCCCAAGATGACCCCAGAGAAAAAGTTAAAAAGTGGTAGGACAACTTCTGAACCCACAGCAGGTTGACACCGGCCTGCTCCCCATGCCTGGGGGTGGGGGTGTCAAGAAATGGCGCCCAGAGATGAGGCTGCCTGTGGAGACGGCAGGGGGCGAGGGAGGGCCCAGCCCCACTCCCAGGGAGGGTGCGGCCCGAGGGAGCACAGCGCGGGGCTTCAGTGCCCTTCGCGCCCACCGCCGCCGCCACCCAGCACCAGGCTGCAAAAGGATACGACTGATGCTTCAGCAAGTGCTTCCTCTTTGACTTCCTCATCTTGGTCTTCTCCGAGAAGGCCCTGGCCAGCTCAAACAGCTTCCTCCGGGTGGCTGGGGACACAGAGACCTGTGAGCCGGCAGCCCCCAGGACCAGGGCAGGCTGGTGGGGGAGTTACTGCAGGTCAGGGCCCGCCGCCCGCAGCGGAGATCTGGGTGTGCCTCCTGGCCCCGCTGGGACAGCCAGCCACGCATCTGGGCTTTCTCTCCGGCCACCTCCCCATCTCCCGCCTCCACCTCCAGAGCTGGCTCTGGGATTTCCATGACTAATCTGAGACTCTGAAACGGGGCCTGAGGGCATGACACACGCGTGGCTGTGTGTCTGTCAGACGGAGGGGGACGGGAAGGCGTGCCGGGGCTGGCGGGACTCCATGGGAAGAGGCCACCGACCCGGCGGGCCTCCCACCCACGGAAAGTGGACCGAGCTTGTCCTCCCCACTTGGTTGGCCCTGGCCAAGCAGTCACCTCAAAGCACAGAGAATGTGAACTCTAAAGTGGGGTGGGGTGGGGTGGGGTGGGGTGGGGTGGGGGGCTGGTCCCAGTAAAATCTTATTTTTCTGCAGACAGCTGGCTCAAGAGGATTTAAAACTTAATTTGTATCCAGACTCAGCTGCACAGGGGACTGAGGCAGGGAAGCGGAGGGAGCCAGTCAGTGATTAAAATGTCACTTTGGTTCACCAAGCATCAGTGGGCATTAAAAATGCAGGTGGCTTCTTCCCCTCCCAGGAAGCCACAGGCCTGTTTGGGAACAGCTGGGGCTGGGGAGGGGGGGGGGGGCGGTGGCGGAGGGCGTGGGCTGGACTCACATTTTCCCATGTGTTTCAACTTGTCCCTGAATAAGGCATCTTCAGACACAGCAGGGTTGGCGTCGCTGTTTCCTGGAAGGGGGAAGACATCTCTGAGGGCCAGCTGGAGAGGAACAGTGCCCTGGTCGAGGCCCAAGGTGGTGGGTCAGGACTGTCTCCCTAGCACAGGGGCTCGGCCCCACCCTTCCAGGTGAGGAGGGGTGCACAGGCTTCCTCCCTAACCTGGAGGGAGCTGCAGGCAGGGAGTCCCACTAGGTTTCAATGAGCACTTGCTTCCTTCCTCATCCAAGTCTCACTTTCCCCTTTCCTGTAAAAACTATGTGCGGAGGGCTGGCTCCCAACCGTCTGCTCCTCTGACCACTTTGTGTCCCACGAAGGCTCTTTGGGAGCTTGAAATCAGCTGTGACTGGAGTGTTCACACCATGAAAGCTACCAGATGCCAGGCACCGGGGCTTCCCCCACACCCCTATAGGCTGTTGAAAGTTCACCCGCATGCGGCCGGCTGGCCTGTGTCCTGACGTGGTGTGAGAATTAACACAGCAATGGAAGCAGGCTCGGGGCACACAGCAGGCACCCGCCGTGGGGATGTCCTTCTCCCCCAGCCAGGGTCCACTCTCCATACTCTCCCAGACACAGAGTTTCTGACTCATTAGACCATAAGCAGGAACGAGAATAGGGCAAGTCCCTAAGTCAGAACCCAGCCTCCCAGCTGGAGACTCCCAAATCACTCAGCACCCACCTGGGCCCCTCGCTGTCCTTCTAAGACCCCCACGCTAATCCCGAGTCACCTTGTCCACTAAGTCCCTGTGAGTCATTCTGATCCATCTCAGCCATCCCGGTGTCTATGGTTAATTCGGGATCAAGGACACGTGGCTGCCGTTAACCGCCCCCGCTGCACATCTGGTGGGGTCTAAGCTCCCAGCCTGTTGCTTATGAATCAGTTCCACGGGATTTTCTCTCTCCAGGCTGGGATCAACTGAGTTCCCCCTCCTTCTGCCCCCCTCCTCTCCTCCCCTACTCAATGAAAGATCTGTTTGGGGCAAAAGGTGTACATTCTTCCTCTGAGGCGGGAGGCCTGTGTGTACGTGGCGGGCACCAGCTGACCAGAGGCCAGTGTACATACACACACAGAATCCAGATGTTGAGAGTGGAACCAGGGCCTTCAAGGGGTCCCCAGCTCCAGCTCCACCCCCATCTGTGCAGCCCAGTAGCCTGCCGTCCACCCCGGACCCTCCTTCAGCTGCTTGGGTGATTCTTGCTTCTTACCATCTTGTATATGAAACTTTCAAAATTCTCTTTCTGCAATACTAAGGCAGGGCCTGGCCTGGGAGAGCTGATATTCCCCAGCTACCGAATGAATGAATGAACCTTCCCCAGATGGATCCTCCCTGTCCCCCAGCATGTGTTTGCTATAATTAACAAGTGTGTCCTCAGCTCTGCTGGTTCGGGCTCCCTGTTTCTTGGAGGCATCTCCTGCACTCCCCATAAGACCATAAGCTCCCCCGGGGCAGCGCCCTGGTCTCTGAGTCCCTTGCCACCCCCAGCACCCCATGGGACATTGTGTGGTATGCTGTGTCCCCTTCTTGCCCAGGCTCCAAGCGCCTCTAAGGAGCAGAGCCAATCTGCGGGCCAGCCCCAGGTGAGGGCTCCGGCAGCCGCTGGGCTGGCAGGAACCAGGGCTGCCGAGCGGAGGGCCCGTCTCACTGCTCGGGGTGTATGATGATGGGGCAGAACCATCCTCTGCAGCCTATTCCCCACCCTCTCTCCAAACTCCAAATATGCAGACACCTGGGGACATGAGCCCCCTACACCCTCCAGGTCTCTCTCTCAGGAAGGCAAGGTCACCTGGGACAGGAGAAGGAAAGTCAAAGTCATTTCCCACGGCCACGCTGCTGGATGTAGACTTCTGGGACTCGTATTTCAGTCGATCTGGAAAAGGCCCACAGTCTGGTCAGGGGAGCTAGCTCCCACCCGGGGGCCACCTGAGCTGAGAGATGGTTGGAGGCCAAACCCTGAGACTCTCACACACACACACACACACACACACAACATGTGCACACGCGACACCTATGGGCTCTCAAAGAACCAGAACTCTCAAAGACACAGAAAGCACTGCCCTAATAGCTGCCTGGAATGTCAGAAGGTCAAAGGTAAAAGGCCCCTGAGAAATTGGGCTGTCCAGCCCTTCATCTAAAAGGAAAGGCCTGGAGACTCCCCGCATCTTCACTGCAGAGCTGGGACCAGCCTTGGGCCCCTCTGTCTCAGGCCAGACTATCCCTGCACGTTATGCTCCTGACCGAAACACACTGCCAGTCACACACACATGTACACACGAACCCCTCTCCCACAGGCCCCTCGCTGTACCCCACCCCAAACCTTCCCACTCTAAACGGGGAAGGCAGCCAGGCTCGGGGGAGTAGGGTCCTTGGCCCAGAGACAACCCCAATACCCCCAAACCCTCCAGAAAAGTGAAAAAGTGAAAGTGAAGTTGCTCAGTCGTGTCTAACTCTGTGCAACCCCGTGGACTGTAGCCCGCCAGGCTCCTCTGTCCATGGGATTCTCCAGGCAAGAGTACTGGAGTGGGGTGCCATTGCCTTCTCCAAAACCCTCCAGAGGCCCTGCTCTAATGCCCTCTGCTCAGGGAGGCATGCACCCTGGCACCCACCCACCCAGACCCTCTACTTCTGGAGCCCCAGTCACACAGGGCAGACACCAGCCCCTGGCACAGAGCAGAAGTCGGGGGGGCAAGCAGGGGAAGAGCTCAGAGGGCGCCCCTCTCTCCCGCAAAGTCCCAGAGTGGGGGAGGGCTGGCTGGTGACTCAGGTCCCTGTGAGCAGACCTCTTCTTCCCAGGTGGCGCTAGAGATAAAGAACCTGCCCACCAGTGCAGGAGACTTAAGAGACCCAGGTTCCATCACTGGGTCGGGAAGATGCCCTGGAGACGGGCAACGGCAACCCACTCCAGTGTTCTTGCCTGGAGAATCCCATGGACAGAGGAGCCTGGTGGGCTACAGTCCATGCGGTCGCAAAGGGTCAGACATGACTGACCCTTTCACACTTTCACCAGGACAACTCAGACCTCCAGCTCAGAGCCCCAGGCTAAAGCCAACATGGCCCTGCCTTGGCCTGGAGCACCAGCCCCAGGGCACCACCTCTCTCCAGGGCGAGCAGGAAGTCACGGTTGCGCTGCAGCTCCTTCATGAACTCCTCGTTCTGCAAGAAGAGCGCAATCCTCTCGTCCTCCAGGTACTGCTTCCAGCGGCTCTCCTGGTCCCTGGGCTCAGGCCCCACCGCAGAGGGCAAGCTGCCCTCTGTGCTCACGAGCTTGGAGCCCCTGGAGGTGGCCTGAGGACAGAAGCAAGCATGTGGATCACCTACTCACAAGGGCGTGCACTGCGCCAATACCCATGCGCACCAGGGGTACACGTCCTTCCCTTCCAGGATGCTGCGGCCACACCCTGAGGCCAGGACCTCCTCTACCCAGAGCGAGTTGTCAGCCAAGACCCAGCTTAACAGACCAGAGCCGTCTGTGCTGAGGAAGCATCAGGGGGTTAAGAACTATTCCCCACCTCCCCAGCTTGGCACCTTGGACCTTCCCACCAATGTTCCCTTTGTCAAAACCTGAATAGTCCTAAAGAGTGATCTTCAAATAGCTCAGGGTCCCCATACTCATACTTTCCTTGTCCTGTCTCAGAGGAGACCGCTTGCAAGGGCCAGCCTCTGGGGAGAAGCACCCTGGCCCTTTCCCAGGGGAAGGAAGGAAGGAAGGTGCTCTGCCTTTCTGCCACTGAATGACCCCCCCCACCCCTGCCCCGCCCCCCTCCTGCCAGCCGAGGGTGATGCGGGCCGCCAGAGCATCCTGAGTGGAAGGGGACACTGTACAGGCCCCGACGGGGAAGCAGGCTTTTGGTTCAGCCTTCCTTCCCTACCACCCCAGGGAAGCTCCACCTGGGCTGAAACGTCAGGGGGGGTCAGGGACTGGTGCGCACACAGACACTGCACAGGCTGGGGGCGGGGGGCCCTGTTACCTGTATGCTATCCAGCTGCTGGGGCAGGATGCGGAGAAAGTCTTCAGGGAGGTTGCCCAACAGTGGGGGGTTCCAGTTCCGGTAGCGGCTCTGGCTGGAAGGGGGCACGGAGCCCAGCACGTCGATGCTGCAGGGCGACAGGTGAGGATGAGGAGGGAACAGTCAGGCCCACACATGGGGGTCCAGGCCCATCACACCAGGATCCTGCTCAGAATGGCACCCGTGTGCCCAAGCTTCCCACCGCCTCCAGCACTGGCTGACCCCTCGCCTCTAGACCTGGACGCCTACTGTGCCAGTCACTGCTTCCAGCCACCCAATGTCTGCAAGGTCTCTGGGCCTAGGGGCTTCCCCGGTGGTCCAGGGGCTAAGACTTCACCTTCCAATGCAAGGGGTGCAGGTTCGATCCCTCGTCAGGGAGGTAAGATGCCACATGCATCTTGGCCTAACAAACAAACAAAAGGTCTCTGGGCCTAAAGAGGTCTGCGTTTGCGGAGCTCATGTTGGGTGTTGTGGATGTGGACACGGATGCAGGGGTCACAGCCCTTCAGCCTTCTGTCTCTAGCATCCAGCATAACACGAGCTCCTGGGTGCTGAGTGATAGGTGTGCTCCTGGTGAGTAGACACCCAGCGCGGCCAACAGCCCAGCCCTCCCCAGCGTCGGTTTGCTGGGATCAGGGGACACGGGGACACCAGGGTCCCTAGAGGGCAAGCAGACCCCGGCTCCAGACCTGGTGGGTGGTCCCGGGGGAGACCGTGTCCCCTGTGGGGCTGTCCCCCCATCTGCAAACCGTTGCCCCCCTGCCCAGGTGCGTGGGAGCCCCTCTCAAGGCTGCCTTGAACAGCAAGCTGGAAAGGCGCGAGGAGGGTGGGACCAGCAGGGGCTGCCCTCCTGGCCGCGGGCAGAGTCCACAGCGGGAGGGGGTATAGGAAGGGGGCCGTGGGCACGCGCCCGCCCTGACCCCCGGCGTCCCGCCCCGCCGTCCGGGCCTGAGGGCAGCCTGGGGCCGGGCCAGGAGCTCCCCACAGCTCCCCGGCGGCCTGCAGCGTGGCAACCGCAGAACACGTGTTCTGCTGAATCAGGGAAATGGCACACACGAAGGCAGGCGAGCGCCGGGGGTGGTGGGGGCCGCTCTCGCGGGCCGGCTTTGATTTGGTCTCCAGCTCCAGGAATCCCGCCCGCCCACTCACTGGAGGGGAGCTTTTCCGGGCTGCCACTGAGGATGGAAATAACTTCCTTTCCTTTTCTATTTTGGGCGGGTGGCCTGGCGGCCCGGGGGAAGGGCGGGGGTGGCAGCAGACAGGATAACAAGCTGCTAAGTGCGTGGTGGGAGCGCAGCTCCAGACGGCAGCCAGGGAACCCCGGGCCCCTCTGCTGTACGGACGCAGGAATGTTCCAGAGGGGCGGGGCGGGGGGGCTGCATCACAGCCGGGGACTCCGAATCTGGGCGCGTTTCCTGCTTCATCACTTCTCCGCCTCCCGACAGAGTTGGCAACTTCATTTTGCTCCAAGGGCCAGACCACCCCTCAGCCCACCCCACCCCACCCCCCTACTCCCGGCACCCTGGAGAAATCGCCTCCAGCCTCACCACCCTTCCTGCAGTTTCAGGGTCTTCACTGGGACATGGGTGCCCACCCCAACTCAACCACACCCAGAGTCACCCAGGTAAGCCCTGGAGACCGCCCCAGAGTTGCAGCTGGCCCCCTGTAGCCATTTGTTACTGAGCACCCAAGTGGGGAGGGGGCAAGGAGCTGGAGGCTAAGGGTGCCTGGATGCTGGGCCTCTGGCCCTGGAGGAGGGGGCTGACTGAGCCCCCTGCCCTGACTCAGGCTGAGATGAGGTCAGCCCACAGCTGCGAGAGCCAGGGGGGGGGGCCTGAGCACAGGCAGCCCAGGCACCTCCTTTGTGGTCTGAAAGGAATGTCAGAAATGAGCTGAGAGGCAAACGAAAGCTTCCAAGGCTGTAATTTCAACAGAAGAACAGCAGGTGGCCTGTGAGGAGGGGTGCTGGGGCTTCAGAGCCAGTCTTTCATTCAGGAGAAAGAGGCAAGGACAGGCTGGGGGAAGAAAAGGAGAGGGAAGGCTGGGCAGGCTCTCCTGGCCCAGAGTTTCCGCCTCTGCACCCAGAACTAGAACTCCAAGTGCCAACAGACTCAGACCCCCAGGCTTACCCGAAGAATATCAGAGCCCAGGATTTCAGCGACAAGCCTTCCAAGCAAGACTTTTGGTAAAGGCAAGGAGGCCCAGGTGGGGCCAGGCCTGTCCCCGGGCACAGAGATCCTCCTGGTGCAACCTGGGCCCCGGGGTCCCAGCACTCCAGGCATGCTCCCTGCCTCTCTGCACCCCAGCAGCTCCCAAACCCTGCTCCACCTTTGGTCTCAAAGGCAGTCCAGTGCCTGGAGGTGGCAGAAAGGAGCCAGGCCATTCCTGCCCCGCCCCCTCAACTCAACTCTGATGGTCCCCAGCAGCCAGAAGAAGATGCTTAAAACACTAACATGATCCCGCCACCCTCCTTCTTGAACCCCTGGGTGCAAGATAAGGTCAGAACTCCTTGGAGGACCCAGGCGGGCTTCCACTGTCTGCCGGCCTCTCAGTCTCACCAGGCCTTTTCACACTTCCTGGAGTTCCCTTGGATGGCGCCCTGTCTCCTGCCTCCAGGACTTTCTTTGCGTGTGCTGTTGCCTTTGCCTGGAGTGCCCTCCTGTTCCGCTTCGGCAGATTGCAGCTTGGACCTCGGCTCCTCTGCCGCCTTCCCTGGGCTGCCCTGTCTGTTCCCGCCCCCAGACTCCCATCTCCCTGGGAGGTCAGGGTAGCAGGGTCCTCGCCTCTGTATCACACACGGCTCAGCACCTGTCTGCTTCAGATGGCTCCTAAAAGCTAGAAATGCACGTCCTGGGTGGAGAGACTGCATGAGGCCCTGGGGCGTGGGTGAGGGTGGGAATCTGGGCCATCTGGGCCTAGCAGGGCCAGCCCAGGGCAACGTGGCAGGTGTTCAGAGGTGGGGCCTGCTTCTTCTGAACACCAGCCTCTGGGGGCAGCCTTAAGCCTCGTCTCTGTGTTCACCGGCAGAGCTGACCTCAGAGGCCCGCTGTGCGGCCGGGTGGGACGTCTGCTGACACGTCTGGTTCATACCTGCGCCTGTGCTAAGTGTCCCACACACAGCATCTCGTTCAACCCTCACCAGAGTGCTGAGACGGGGATGAGTGTTCCCATTTCACAGATGAGGCAAATGGAGCCCAGAGAGGGTAAGCAGCGAGCCAAAGGCACCTCAAGAATCAGGAGTTAGACGGCTGAGGGAGGGGGAGGTGGGGAGAACATGGCCTCGTCTGACTCCACAGCTCGCAGGCTCTCTTCCCTGGATCCACCCCCAGCCCAGCAAAGCCTTCCTGTCCAGGTCAGGCCCCTGAACTTCAGGCAAGGGCAGTAGCTCGTCCAAAGTCACAGGGTGTGAGTGAGGCTTCCAGAACCTTGGTCTAGTGCGGAGGCCGCTTTGTCCCCCACTGGGGCTCCTATCACCAGGCTGCATGACCTCTGCCCTCCTCCACCGACGATACCCGGGGAGGGAGAGTAGGATGCAGCTAGGATATCCGTGCCAGTTTACAGTGGGATGCTGTCTCTGATGGGCTAAGTTTTCCCTTCTGAAAAACAGGTAGAACTATTCTGCCTAATAGAAACTGAACTTTTTTTTTTTTTTTTTTTGCAAAAGCATCTTGGAATATTAAAAAAAATGTCAAAGGAAAATCATTTAGCCCTGGGCATCGTGACCCATCCTGAGCTGCAAGTCCTACCAGGATTTCACCCAGACTATCCACTTATGCCTCCCTCATTACAGCCTCAGCTCTGCTTCTGTCCCTGACTTCAAACAATGCTCCCCACTCCCAACAACTTCACAGGCCACTATCCGCTCCCTGAGCTACAATCACAGAGGTTTTTCTCATTAGGGGATGACAGGACACAGCAGGGGATGGTGTTTATTGGCTCTGGAGTCAGAATGACCTGGGTTCAGGTTCCAGCTCTGTGGTCTTAGGGAAGTTATGAAACCTCTCTGGGGCTCAGTTTCCTCACCTATAAAATGGGGATGACACCAGTGCCTACCTCACAAGTTGTTAGATGGCTTGAAAGCTGTGGTATAGGTAAAGAACCTTGCCATTTTCTGGCATTTGAAGGGGGCTTAATAATGGGAGTTGTTATTGTTAGCTATGCCTGTATGACCACAAAGTTTTCCACTACTACTGCCTGGGACTCCCAGGATCCCCAGAAGGCAAGATCCCTCGGAGCAAGTCTCCTGTCCTATCATGTCCCCCCTCCCCTCCCCATCCCAGGCCTCAGTCATTCTCAGGATGAGCAGCTCCAGGACAAAGAGAAGCCTGGGCTCCAACAGCCACCTCAAATGCCTGCTGCTGTTGTGTAGTCGCTAAGTCATATCCAACTCTGCGACCCCATGAGCTGCAGCCCGCCAGGCTCCTCTGTCCATGGGATTCTCCAGGCAAGAATACTGGAGTGCGTTGCCATTTCCTTCTTCAGGGGATCTTCCCGACCCAGGGATCGAACCCGAGTCTTCTGCATTGGCAGGTGAATTCTTTACCATCTGAGCCACCAGGGAAAGTGTGTTAGTCAGTCAGTCGTGTCCGACTCTTTGTGACCCCGTGGTCTGCAGGCTGCCAGGCTCCTCTGTCCATGGGATTTCCCAGGCAAGGATACCAGAAGCCCCACCTCAAGCGCAGAGTCCAGAAATACAAGCACTTCAGAGACCAGCTTCATTTTAAACTTCTAAATTACAGAGTCCCTGACTTGGAAAAAGTCTCCAGGCACCTAGCAGTCTACTCTCTGCTTCCGATTATCAAATTACCCTAGAAAAAGAGACTTACTTGTTCCTACTGCTTAAAAATCCCCACAATCTCCCTAGAACCCCAGATATCCACATCATTGATTACTGATGACTGGGAGTGAGCGCTGTGTTACAGAGGATTCTGAGGTTCCGTCTTAACTGAGCCAGCAAGAGCACGGTGATCAATTAGTGATGTCTGCCATGGGCACAGGAGGGGAAGCGTCGGTACACCTTCCAGGTGTCTGTCATCCCCACTCTGCATCTCTCTCAACTATAAACTCCCAGAAAGTGAAGGCTGAGCCTTGTTTAACTCTGTGACCTGCCGGCATTCAGGATAGCGCCTAGCCCAGAGTACGAATTCAGTAGATGTCTGTTCTTGGAATCCTTAGAGCTTGAAAATTCTCCTTGAGTTCTAGCTAAAATGCATTTCGCTGCAGTAGGTGGAATACAGAGGGACCCAGCCAAGCTGCCCTCTGGGCTTGTACTCAATCCTAACCCCGGTCCTCCTGCCCCTTGCCTTGCACTCTGGGGGGAGATTCTTACCGGGGAGGTGGAGTCGGGGGAGCCAGTGGGTAAGGCCTGTCCAACACGTGCATGTGGTAGGCAGGTGGAGAGTACACAGGCGGGGGCTCCTCATCAGAGCTATCGGGTTCCAAGGTCCTCTCCAAAATCTGCATCAGAGACAAGAAAGAAATATTAACAACCCTTCCTTGAACTGAATAACATGTAGACAAAACATCAAGCGTGGGCAAGGATGTGTAGTCAGGGAATTCTGTTACTGCTGGTGGGAGTGGAAAGTGATACAACCACCGCTCTGCAGAACTGTCTGGCTTCCTGCACTGGCACTCAGCACATAGGCTACCTCTGAGCCCACGATTCCAACACACACAGCAGACGTGAATGCACATGTCCCCGGAGGAATGCTCAGAGCCATCCAAGTAAGGTTCAAAACCAGGCAAAACAACTTCACAGGGATCGCAGCTGGAGCAGTGTGGCCTCTGGGGATGGGGAGGCTGAGAAGGGGCATTCCAGGCTCTGCTGATGCTTCCTGATCCTGGTGCTGATGAAACTTCACTGAGCTGCCTGCTTGGGCCTTGTGAACTCTTCTGTTCATGTTACTTTTGGTAAATAGCTTTAACATCATTCCTATCCTCTCTCAAAGAATTTCCACATCTATTAACTCACCTTAAGCCCAAACAACTTGGCAGAGTAGGATATGGATCATCACCCCCATTTTACAGATGAGGAAACTGAGGCACAGGCTGACTGATGAACATGGCAAAAGCCACACACTGTTTCTAGAACTGAGTCTCTAACTTGGATGTGGTGTCTACAGCAGGAGTCTCTCCTTCAGACACAATGCCGGCACACCCAGGTTGGATTCTCAGGGCAGAGACCAGCAAAGTGTGGGCCCAAGCCCTTCATCATGGATTCCTCTCCTCATCCAGGAGCCAGAGAAAGGGGGCAAGTGAGGCCAAATGCTGGGCAAAGGCCAGGCTCCTGCTGTACGGGCTGATCTGAACCCCTCTCCAGGGGAGTCTAGAGCCAGAGGAAAGCCCAGGTCACACAGTCCCCGCCCCAGCCCTTCCCCAGCTCTGCGCCTATCTCACCTCCAAGACCAAAGGACTCATGAAGGGCTCGGAGCCTGTCAACTGGCCCCAAGTCAGAATCCCAAGTGAGTCTGCAGAAGTCACCACTAAGACGCCTCTGCACGCCCCTGGCCTCGCCCAGCCACTCTCGGGCACCCGGTCTCAAAAGGGATACCACGGCGGGCGGGAGGCTGGGTAAGCAAGCATGCATGCACACATACACACACTGCCTCGTGTTTCGGGCGGCGTCTGTGCTCACCACCATACCGCCATCACACACACACTGCCACGCTTCATACACACCCAGCCAGCCTGACCCAAGGAGGCCTCCTGCTCTGGAATGCACTAACGTTCTTTCCTTTGAGGCGGAAAGTATTTAAACAGATGCTTTTGCAGGAAAAAAAAAGACGGTAGCTGCCTTTCGGGCCACTGCTCTCCTTACCCCGAATTTCCACAAGAAAAGGAGAGCGAGCGAGAGCACCGTAAGATCCAGTCCTGGTCCCTGGCAGACCACGGCTCTAAGGGACGGGGCTCCAAGCTGGGGCCCCCGGCCAACCCCACCGCCGCCCCTCGGTGGCCGGCCTGGCCTGGCCCCACTGAAGCCAGTCTGAGTCAGACGGCTGAGGAGGGGCGAGTTCCGTTGAGACTGTTCCCAGAGGGAAGCTGCTGGGGGTCCCTCTGACTGAGGCCTGCAGCAGTTGCCCCTCAGGCCTCCACACAGGAGGGGGCGGTGAGGTCTCTTTCCTCAGCCGCTCCTGCCCCTGAGCGCGGCCTCCGGGGGCTCCAAGAACCAGACGCCCATCAGAGGCTCCTGGAGCAGGATGAAGACAGAAGGCAGAGAGCAGGCCAGGCACACTCGGGAAAGGCTGACCCCCCCAGTCTTCGGGGAGAAGTGACCCCAGTCGTGCTTCTGGCCTCCCCCTTCCCCCGCAATGCCACGAGAGCCACAGTGAGGTTGTCCTTCTGGCTCTAAAGGTGCTGAGGTTTCTGGTTCCCTGGCCTCCCGGCTTAGCCCCGTGTGGGTGATGGATGCCTGCCAGGTGATCTGGGGGCCAAGGTCCAGGCCATTTATCTGGCGGGAGACATTTCTCTGTGGCGAGGATACCCCTCAGGCCAGCCCACCATTCATCAGCCCCCAGAGAAGGGGCTTTTTCCAGTCAGCAGTTATTGTCAGCCCGGCTGCTGCTCATAAATTTTCCGCAGCACTTTCCGCTGGCTCAGGGACCGCCTGCCGACGGGCCCACGCAGAGCTCCAAAGATGAGGGCTGGGGAAACAGCCAAGGGGGCTGCCGAGAAGGGGCTCCATCTGGAAAGCCAGATACTTAGAAAAACAGAAGCACACACAGCGCAGGCCTATCGAGGGCATCAGGGGACTTTTACAGAGGGTCACGGGGCTGTGGGTGCTGTGAACAACGGGGGAAACACTATCCTACCTGCCAGACTGTCAGGACAAATGAGACTGTGGAAGGGGTCAGTGTTTGCAGAGAACTTTCCTTCCAGCTCAGAATTAAAGGCGGTATCTGCACACACACACACACACACACACACACACACACACACACACACACACACCCCTCCTCTTTGCAAAGAGGATCCACTGGCTGATCCAAGCAGAGCCACACACACACACACACACACACACACACCCCTCCACCCCTCCTCTTTGCAAAGAGGATCCACTGGCTGATCCAAGCAGAGACACACACACACACACACACACACACACACACACACACACACCCCTCCACCCCTCCTCTTTGCAAAGAGGATCCACTGGCTGATCCAAGCAGAGCCACACACACACACACACACACACACACACACACCCCTCCTCTTTGCAAAGAGGATCCACTGGCTGATCCAAGCAGAGACACACACACACACACACACACACACACACACACACCCCTCCTCTTTGCAAAGAGGATCCACTGGCTGATCCAAGCAGAGACACACACACACACACACACACACACACACACACACACACCCCTCCTCTTTGCAAAGAGGATCCACTGGCTGATCCAAGCAGAGCCAAGGTGTGCTCTCCCAGGAAAAGAGACTAAAGAAAGCTGTGCAAAGACAGCAACAACATTTACTCATTCAACAAACACTCCCCAAGTGCCTGCTATGTACAGTGACTGTCCTGGGTGCTGCAGGTGACACAGGGATGAGCCAGACGTCACTGCCCACAGAGCTTCTCCTCCACCCAAAGAGAGAACACCCAGGCAGCACCCCAATAGGGGGAAGAGCGAGGGGGCTTTGCCCAGCAGGATGACTCTGATTAATGGAGAACGGCCACATGCAGGTCTGTGTCCAGAAGGACTCTGAGGCCACATCAAGGTCTAGGTTTCTCACTGTAAACAGGATAATAATAATGCCACCTCATGAAGCGTGTGAAGGTTTGAAGTGATGATACATCTAAAGCATATGGGATGATGCCTGGCCCAGGCTGGGACTCAGTGAAGAGCAGAGCTGAATCCATTCTGCTGGGTCGTTCCGTCTTATCCATGGCCATACATGCCAGGTTCCCCTGCAGGCAGTGACTCTCTTCTTAGACTCCGGGTGCCCCTTCTGGGCCCAGGACTGCAGGTCCTACCAAGGATGGGAGGCCAGATGTGAACTCTTGGAGGGGTCACGGAGGCCTGGCCACACCCAGCAGGTGGGCCAAGGCAGTGGGTGGGTCCCTTCTCCCCCAGCCACCTTCCTGGAGAAAGGAAACAACTGCTTGAGTATCCCTCATGCTTCCGGCAAAGGAACTGAGCTCACAAGTCTGATGTGTCACCCATCTCCCGTGGTTCCTGCTGCTCTAGAACATTCTCCCTTCTTTGTCAGCTGCAAGGCCTCCTGCTCTCTGCTCACTCGAGGAAACTGACAGAGGCCCTGCCGCCAGCTCCTTAGGGCTCCTGCTCTATCCCGCCTCTGCACAAGCTGTTCGCTCTGTCTGCACACCTTTGCCTCCTCTTCACCCCTCCTCTGGGCAGCCATTTCTTCCTCTCTGCTTCCTCCATTCTCCCCATCTGAGCACTCACTCCTGTGGACTGCCACTGCTGGACATCTGCCTCTAGTCCTCCCGGGACCGTGAACTCTGATGAGGGCGGAGACTCTGCGCTGGCCTAAGTGGATACCCCAAGGCTCCGATGGCAGCCCACTCCAGTGTTCTTGCCTGGAGAATCCTGCGGACAGAGGAGCCTGGAGGGCTGCTGTCCATGGGGTCGCACAGAGTCGGACATGGCTGAAGCGACTTAGTGTGCATGCATGCACTGGAGGAGGAAATGGCAACCCACTCCAGTGTTCTTGCCTGGAGAATCCCAGCGACAAAGGAGCCTGGGGGCCGCCGTCTATGGGGTCACACAGAGTCGGACATGACTGACACGACTTAGCAGCAACAAGACTCCAAACATACAGACCAGACAGCACCAGCCTGGAGAGGGGATTCGGTATTTTGGGGTGGGACCCACGTGTCTACATTTTGAACAAGCTCCTTGACCCTGATGACCCCTGACCCAGGGGCTGGCAAGTGCCTGGCACAGCTCTGAGAAGATGCTGCCTGATTTTTGCCCAGAAACCAAGGCCACTGGGCTGACTTGGGTACCAGTTTCCAGAGGTGGAACCCAGACAGGAGTATAACTCAAGTCCTCTAAGAGGCTCAAACTAGTTGCTGGAGCTCCTGCTGAAGGATCGATCGGGGCCGGGCCCCTACCTCTGGGGGTATGCTGTCCTCGGAGTCGGAGCTGTCCTCGTAGACGCTGCCCCCGCCCGCCTCCAGGTTCATCTGCAGCAGCTGGTCGATGGTGGCGTCCACGGCGCCGCTGTTGGCGCGCAACACGCACTCGATGATGTCGTAGTCCATGTTGGGGAACATGGTGGTGAAGTCGTCCATGGCCTGGTTGAACTCGAGGCGGCGCACCTGGCGGGCCGGCCGGCTGTTGTTGAGCTCCTGCGAGGCGGCCGCGCCGGCCCCGGCCCCGCGAGCGCCCGCCGCGCCCCCACCGCCCCCGCCGCCGCTGCTCCGGCGGAACAGGCTGGTCATCTTGCCGAGTCGCTGGGGGAGAATGTTTCCCGCCGGCGCCGAGCCCCTTCCCCCGGGTCCCTGCGCCGTGGCTGCTCGGAAGCTCAGGCCCGCGCCGGGCGGGGTCCCCGGGTCAAAAGACTGGGGCGCGGCATCCGTAGGGGGCTGGCGGCTCGGTCATCCACACCCGGGGAGCATCCTGGGGCCGGCTCCACGGACCATCCCACCTGAAACAGAGGGAGACAGAGTCAGCGGGAACGCAACCCACTCCAGCTCGGGGTGGTAAACAAGGGGGTTAGGGCGATTCCCCACCCCAGGGCCACGCCCTCGGGAGAACTGCTTCTTTCTCCTTTCTCTCCACCTGTGGTAGTTACACAGCTATAGCTCTTTCCCAATTAACAAGGGCTTAGGTGGCTCAGACGGCAAAGCGTCTGCCCACAATGTGGGAGACCTGGGTTCAATCCCTGGGTCAGGAAGACCTCCTGGAGAAGGAAATGGTAACCCACTCCAGTACTCTTGCCTGGAAAACCCCATGATGGAGGAACCTGGTAGGCTACATTCCATGGGGGTCACAAAGAGTTGGACATGGCTGAGCGACTTCACTTCACTCACATCCTACATATTTTCCTGCCGGTTAACTCATGACACCACTATGAGGTGGGTGCTTAGATCCCCCTTATACAGATGGGAAAACTGAGGCACAGACCTGAGAAAGTGGAGACGGTGGGGATTTGAACCCAGGACTGTGGCCCCCGAGGGTCTTCCCTGGTGGTAAAGAATCTGCCTGCAATGCCAGAGACAGGGGTTCAGTCCCCGGGTTGGAAAGATCCCCTAGAGAAGGGAATGGCAGCCCACTCCAGAATTCTTGCCTGGAGAATCCCATGGACAGAGCTACAGTCCATGGGGTCGCAAAGGGTTGGATGTGACTGAGTGACTCACACTTGTACTTCTTCCTGCGGCCTCTCAGCCACTGGTCTCACCCGTTACGCACACTCCCCAGCCCTTGCGGGGATGTGACTGGGGCACGCGGCTTCCGCACTGGCGGTGCCCTGCTCTGGTCTCCAGCCCCATCCAGTCTCTGCTTGCCGCACCTCCCACCCTCAGGGCCCCACCATCGCACCTCCCGTTTTGCACAGACCTCCTTGAAACCTGCGGCAGCCCACTCAGAACCAGGGTGTCAATCACTACCAAGGTCACATTTCTGTTAGTGCCGTCAACTGAGTGTTGACTGTGTCTAAAACCATCAAGTTCTGACTTTTCTTAGGCTGATCCCAGGATGTACAGTAATTTTGCTAATTGTAGAAAAGTGCCAGCTTTATTTTAAGGGACTGTTGCATCAAAGGATATTCCTAACACTTCTCTAATGTTAGGTCATCATCCTAACAGCTGATAGATAAATGCCAGTGTGAGCAAAACAGTGCGAGGCTCTTCCTCGCCATGATCTCGACAGTTAAGTGATGATGGAAAGAAAACTAGAACAGAGGGTGTGGAAGGGGCAGTGGAAGTGCCCACCGTCACCCCAAGGTCAGAGGACCCATCCCTGCCACTGGCACCTTCTTTAGGTCAGTCCTCTCACAGGTAAAATGGGATCATACGGTCCCCTTAGCCCTTCCAGTGCTCCCGTGCTGAGATTTTTATGTCCTTCAGATCTCCACCTCCTCCGAGGGACGTGGAAATTGGCTGGGTCTCCTGTTCTGGGACTTGCTGGGTGGGTGTCTGCCTAGTCCCAGGGAAGTGGGCTGTATTCAAATCTAGAAGCACATGGGCCCCAGGCAGCCTCTGGACACTGATGTTACAGAACTATCATCGCCTCCCACCCGCAGAGAAAACCAATTAACACTCTATATCTGGGCTTCCCCGGTGGCTGAGCTGTAAAGAATGTGGGTTCAATCCCTGGGTTGGGAAGATCCCCTGGAGGAGGGCATGGCAACCCACTCCAGTGTTTTTGCCTGGAAAATTCCGTGGACAGAGGAGCCTGGTAGGCTACAGTACATGGACCGCAAAGAGTCGGACATGACTGAAGCCACTGAGAACAGCACAGCACACACCTACATCTAGATACTTTTTTCTATGCATGTACTACCATATACATGAATTCACTTTACCCAAATGTGACCAAACCATAAATTCTACTATGCAACTTGTTTTTTTCCACTTAATAATTGATTGTAGCCATCTCCTTATGTCAGAACACAGAGATCTACTTCATGATTTTTAATGCTTGAGTAGGAGTCTGATGACTGAGTTAAGTATGATTTATTATCCAGCCTCCTCCACCCCACTTCTTGCCTAGATGAGCGAGTCACAGATCAGAGAGGCCAAAGCCATCTCACGAGGAAGCACAGAGGCATGACCTCAAATGGCCAGTCCAAGAAATCTGTTATGAGAACGAACACAGGAAGGCAGCCAAATATGACGTGGCCTCCCACGGCCAGCTTCGGACACTCCGGTGTCCCACAGCCACGCCTCCCATCACCCCAACACACTGGAAGGTCAGGGGACGCTGCCAAAATGTCCTCCAAAGTGGGGCTCCACCCTGGTGGCTGTCTGTCCTGGGTTCTGGAAACGTGCCCTGAGGCTTCCAACGAGGGCCCGAGGGCCAGGAGGCCCCAGAAGCCAGTGCCCCGGGGGCCGGGGTGGCAGACCAGGACTGCCAGTCTGCTGTCTGGCGTCATCACACATAGGGGTCAGTGCCTGGTGCTAATGCCTCTGGAGCAAAGCCACCTTCAGCCTCCCCCTCGAGTAATTTGCAAGAGAGATTGAGGGACCCAGTTCTCACGTTGCCAAAAGGCAGTACCTTGGAGAAAGAGGCCAGGACCTGATCCACCCCGACAGAGGAAGAAGGGAGATGACGGGGACCATGTTTTCCCCATCAGCAGCCCTCCTGACAGGTCGCTCGGCCTCTGGGCCTCAGTGTCGGGAAGCCCCCACGAGGCATTCTCACCCTCCTACTATTTAAGTAAATGCCCCGATTCAGCCCCAGGCTGCACCTCTCCTCTCTGCCACTCCAGCGGCGGGACCTCGTCCATGCACCCTCTCCTCTCTGTGCCCAGGACCTCACCTTTATGAATGGGGCTTCAGTGAGAATTAACAGGATGATCCCGAGCACCCTGCCTGGAAAGTGGTTAGCTGCGTGACTGTCGTTGCTACTGCCCCAGAAGGCTGGCACAGAGCCAGGGGCGGTTGGCATCTCAGCCAAGTGATCCCGGGGCCGATGGGGTAGGGGCTTCGAGGGGAGCCTTCCCCTGCATCTGGGTATCAACCCGCAGAATTCTGTCAGCCCTCAGGAAGGCGATCCCGATCCTCGCAGCCCTGGGGGAAGCCGGGCTTCCCTGAGCAGCTGGAGACCCCACAGCCCCAGCGGCCACTTCCATTTACCCCCGGTGTAAAGCCTTGAAAACGAGCATTTTTGCGTGTCTGCCCTGACATGTAAACAAGCCAACAACTCTAAGCCAGCCCCATAGGCTGCTCCACATTACAGATGAAGAGATGAGACCCAAGACCAGAGGAGATGCCCAAGACATAGTGCGAGAAGTGGCAAAGCCTTAACTTTTCCATCAAAGGGTGTTTCTGTGGATGAGTAGAAGGTGGCTCCTAAACAGTAACGGAAAACACAGGGAAACAGGATGTGATGTGCAGAAATGCCATTTTCATAGGACCCATGGACTTCCCAAACCAGGATGCCTTTAATTAACACAGGCGAGGATGTGAGAGCTCCTGCTTCTCCGGGCACCACCACCCACCCCCCGCCCCTCACTGAGCTCAAATGCAGAAGCTGAGGTCAGGACTGGGGCTTGGCCAGCGTGGCTGGGAGCAAGAAGGACTGTCCTCGGGTCAGAGTCATCCATGCCAGGCTGCCGTCTGCAACCAGCACAGCTGAAATGAAAAGCCACTTACAACACATGGGAAAATTAAGGCAGGAGACAGGCTCACAAGCTAGGCCAGTGCTTTCACATGTAATCTTTTACAACTCCAGAGACAGATGCTATCATCCCCGTTTCATAGCTATGGAAACCAATTCAGAGAAGTCAGGTAACTTGCACAAAGCCACACAGCCAGCATGTAAAGAGGCCAAAATTAGGCACTCACGTCCTAAGAGCCCAAAACGCCAAGTCAGGCTTGCAAGTCTAAGAGCCCCAGAGCCTCAGAAAGGCTCAGGAGACTGGGCCCAGCCAGACTACCATTCCACACAGGAAAGGGGACCCAGACAGCTCTGGAGGTGGGTGCAGGGAGGGGGTCTGCTGGCTCCACCCCAGAACCAGCTCCCTGACCTTGAGGAAATCACTCCTCCACCTCTCTGAATCTTGCTACAGGGCACTGGCAAGGAAACAAGAGGGCGATAACTCCTGACTGCTGAAAAAGGAAGTGAATCAAACCTGCCGAGCCCGTTAGACACCTTGGAGGCAGGCTCAAAAGATCGCCTGAACTCACAGCTTGTGAGCAGCCTGGGGACTCGGAGGCAGAACCCCACACCTGTCCTCCCCCAGGCCCTGGGGAGCCAGGCCGTCCAACCTCCCCAGAGAGGAACCCAGGCCTGGCAGGGGCGGCAGGCAGCCAAGCTTCCCTCCAAGCGTGTGCAGACAGCCAAGGCCTGAGTCACTCCAGGCCTGGCCCAGGGAGGTGGGCCAGCCGCCCGAGTCATTCTCCTGACTTCGCCCAAGGTCATCCCAGCGAGTCTCCTGCAGGGCCAGGTAGGGCCCACATGGGGAAGGGGAGAGTCCGGGAGCCAGAATCCCAGTCCCAGTTCTGCCTGGTCCTGGAAAAGCTGTGTGACTTTGAGAAATCACTTCACTTCTCTAAACCTCGGCTTCCTCCTGTCAAAGTTGAGATAACACCTACGTGGAAGGGGTATTGTGATAGAACTTACACAGGTAACTGAACATAGGAAGCACCTGAAGAGACAGGATGATGTGACCTCCGGCCCAGGTCATGGCCCTTTTCCAGAGCTACAGTTCCACCTTGAGTGATCTTATCTAGTCCCACATCATTAAATACCATCTACATGCCAAATTGGAAAGTCC